CTGACTTTAAATCAGACTAAACTTTTCCTGTTTTAGGTCAGTCAGGATGACCAACATTATTTCTGTTTCTTTTCTATCTGATTTGATGTCGGACAGTTTTGTGTCTGTAAGCTTCTGGTTGTCTTGCCATAGACAGGAACAGTTTTATAATTAATGATCTGATGTGAATTGTGTCACTTTTCTTTTCTGATGAATCAGAAGGCGTCCTTGGAGTCTTTATCAATTTATATTCTAATTGTCTGCATCCTTACATCCACTCAGAAGCTCTGGTTGTTCCCGTGCCCCCCCGGCGCGCTGCTTTGTTTGCTCCGCAACGCGCCGGCTGTTGATTGTCAGCGCAAATATGAAAACCGTTTTCCTTTTCACTTTGCAGCTCTGGAGCATAATTGTCTGTGATTGTTGCTTAAGAGAGCATAATGTATGCTAATGGCAGCTTGAATAGGCGGCAAAACAAACAGAGAAGTTGCGCAGTGTGAGAGTAAATCTTTTCATTCCGACGCTGGATGATCAAAACTTTCCTGTGAGCAGCAGCTGGAGAGCAGGTACGGCGCTAACTCGTCCCGGCGGAGCTCATGGGACCAACGGCAGCTCATAACCGGCGGCCTCGGCCTGCGAGGCCCGGAGCCGTGCGTGTTGACTACATGCTGTTTGACTGCAGCTCCCTCCGGGCGCCGCCGTGTGTGAATGTTTACCGAAGCCGGCCAGATTAAATCTCCCTCTCCGCTCCATGTCTTTCTTTATCGCGGCAGCAAAGCGGGAACGTCGGCGTGTGGGCGGGCGAGTCGAGGCTCAGATTTACATGCGTCCGCGGCCCACGTGCTGCAGCTGCGTTACAGTCGCAGGTCGGCTTTAATTGCGCGGCACAGTTTCATGTAAATGCAGTTTGAAGGAGTTCGCAGTGTTCTGGAAAAGAAAGAAACAATGGACGACTGATGTAGCCGCAGAACAAACGACATCGAGTGGCTCCCAACGCTTAATTAAGAGCTTTGTTGGACATGAATGCCACTAATTTAGGTAAAGCTTCAGAGTCCCAGATGTGGTTTTGTTGGGTTTGAGTTCACATGATTGTGTTACTTAGAGGGGTGGGAGATTAACGCGTTAATTAATTAACGTCCCAACCCTGATATACTTTAACACGTTAATTACGATTAATTAATTACAACAAAAATAACACGTTAAAAAAAAATTAACGCATTTAATCGCAGCTTGCATTCAGCGTTTGTCAGCGACGCCCGGTTTCATGGTCCACCGATCACATGATGCACGAGATGCGTCAGCGCTACGCTAACAACAACGAACATGGAGGAGTCCGATGAGAGCGCATCGCTGGGACTGATGGAAGTTTCATTTTAACGAGCTGCCTGATAGAAGCCTTGATAAGAGTGCGGTTTTGGTGGTTTTTCTGTGATTTAACAAAACGGGGACAGTTTGTAAAGCTGTTAGCAAGTTATGAACCATTTTTAAATCCTTAAATAATTAGATATGTAATAAAAAACAAAACAAAACAAAAATATTCTGAGTAAAATATTTTTAAATGAATTTATAAAAATACAGATTTTTGATGCCGATGTTATTTACACTTTTTGCCATTTTTATATTTTTTTAATTGTTTTTTTATATTAATTTTAAAACATGTAAATTAATACATTTTTATGTCATCGTGCAGATTTTCTTCTTAAATTTCAGAAATTATCTTGTAAAATCAGAAATAAAATAAAAGTCAAAAAGCTTATTTACCCGTTTTAAACCATTAACAACATTAATAGAACATTGCTGTGGTTTAACCACAGTGCAACTTGTGCAAAAAAGACTTTGCATCCCACCATATATCAGGTCGTCTCCTGCTGCTAAACTGAAGCTGCACATCTCTGTATTGAACCTTTAAGTGTCGACATCATAAAACTTTCTATCTGCTGCCTGTATCTGAACCTCCTCCTGTCTCCAGTCCAGCCCCGAGCGCTACGTGAAGGACTGTTTCCAGTGGATGGTTCCCTTCCTGCACCGCTGCGAGCGACAGAAAGAGGGCGCCGCCGAGTCTCTGCTGGGAGAGTACCTGGTGGGCCTGGCCCGGAGAGACCTGACGCTGCCCCTCATCATCTTCCAGCACTCCAAACCTGACGTACGTATCCGGACGAACAGCAGGCCCCGAGGCCGTCACACTCGGCCGACCGTAAACGCAGCGACAGGAAATGAAAAAATAAAAGCGCGCTCCCAGTGTGGCTGCTGCCGGGATGTCAGGGCCGGAGTCGCTGTAAATGTTATATTTATGAAGCCATAAGGGCAAAGCCAAGGACGAGCTGAGGGCTGTTAGACAACATGACGCACACAAACACTCACGCTGACGCACCGCCGCCGAAGCCTGGACGCTGAAATAAATTAGATAAAACCTGTGGAGAAAAAAAAGATGAAAATCTGGCATCAGGGGCGCCAGAAAATATTAAACATATCTAATAATAGTAATAATAATAATAATAATCATAATCATGATGGCAAATATCAGTTAGATGAGATTTTTACCTGACTACAGTAAATGAATTCATTACTATTTAAAAAATAAATTTAAAAAAATACAGATTTTGGTTTTAACTGGATGTCATGTATGCTTTTGGCTTTTTAAAAAAATTTTCTTTTATTTTTATTAACATTGATGTTATTTTTTTGTCAGTGATTCTACAAATTATTTGAAATGTAACAAAAAAAGCAAATAACAGTTAAAATTAATATTTATAGTTTTTTAGTCATTAATATACAAACAAATAACGATTAAATTCTGGAAAATAATAATAATTTAATATGTTTTTTCCCCCATTTAAATATATATATATATATATATAATGTGTAAATTAATACCTTTTTAAAAAAAAAATCTGATGTACAAAGAAAAATGGATAAATAATTTAACTTTTATTTTACAAATTTTAAATCTTTAACGATAAATGTAAATAATACTTTTGCTTTTTTAAATTGGGTGATTTTACAGTCAAATGTAAAAGAGCAGATAGAGAAAAAAAACACAGATTTTTAATATTTGCATTATTTACAGTTTTTGACCTGTGTTTCTTTTTTTTTTTTTTTTAATTTACAGTAAATTTGTAAATTAGTACTTTTTTTCTGTGATTTTACTGGATATTATCTGAAACTTTAGAAAAGGGTTTAAAATCTGTGAAATAACAGTTTAAAAAAGATTTACTATTTTTCTTCCTTAATATGCATATTTTTTCTTTTAAATAGCAATAAATATCGATAAAATATTGACATGTTTGCTCATTTAAATGCAGTTTTTTTGGACAATAAATTTGTAAATTAATACATTTTTCTCTGATTTTACTGGATGTTTTCTGTAATTTTCATCTACAATATAAAAATAAATTGTTAAAATAAGAACCTGTTTAAAGTCTTTAAACCATAACTTCTGTCCGTTTTGTGAGACGCTCTCACACGTTGTTGTCGTCGATCAGTGCCAGCAGAAGATCATCGGAGACCCCGACCAGCTGATGTCCGTCGCTCTGGACTCCATCTACAACTGCGAGAGAGACGACCAGCTCAGCCTCTGCTACGACGTCCTGGAGTGTCTGCCGCAGAGAGGATACGGGTCAGAACCACACAGACACAACACAATAACACAACAACACAACACGACAACACCGATGTAAACCACAAACCAGTCAGTCGTCCTCCTCCCTCCAGCTTTCTGCTCAACAAACCGAAGCAGCTCAGTTTCAGCAGCTCCGTCCTCCTCGGGGTTAAAAACATCTCTGGCACATTCAAAAACAGAAGAAATAACAGAATAGCAGCAAAAATGCGTCAAATATTTAATATGCGTCATTTTTCCTTCGAATCATGACAAATATCTGTAAAATAATTCAGTTTTTTGTCCATTTAAATTCAGTGAAACAGTAGTTTTAAGGTCAGTTTTGCCAGTATTTAAAGAACTAGTTCATTAAAATACTGTTTTATTTTTTTATTTTATACATTTTAATGATTTTATGTGTAATATTTGTAGACATTATTTACAGTTGTGGCCTATTTTTATGTTTTTGGTTTACAATCAACATGTAAATAATGCATTTTTCTTTTTGTTTTTTTCAAATTTTACGAGATATTTTCTGTAATTTGCCAAAACGGGGACAGTTTGTAAAGCTGTTAGCAAGTTATTAACCATTTTTAAATCCTTAAATAATTCTGTGTAAAAAACAAAAAAAAAACCAAAAACCATATTCTGATTAAAATATGTTTAAATTATTTTATAAAAATACAGATTTTGATGCCGATATTATTTACACTTTTTGCCGTTTTTCTATTTTTGCTTGTTTTTTTTGTTTTTTTAAAAAAGTAAATTAAATGTCATTATGCAGATTTTCTACTTAAATTTCAGAAATTATCTTGTAATATCAGAAATAAAAAAGTCAAAAAGCTTATTTACCCGTTTTAAACCAGAACATTAATAGAACATTACTCTGGTGTAACCACAGTGCAGGTTGTGTGATTTGTCCATAAAGAACAACCCGTTACCCGTAGCGACCGTTTCTCCTCCTCCAGCCTCCTGCTCTCCTCTCAGGGCCCATCAATAAACCCAACGACCTCCTCTGGTCCTGCTGCCTCCCTCTGCTCCTTCCTCCTCCTCCTCCTCTTCCTCCTCCTTTCTCTTTTTCATGTCCAACCTGGACTCTGAGGGTCCATCAGTTATCGGGCTGCAGCCTCCGCCTCCTCCAGCTCGTTTTATGTCTGGTGGCAGCGGGCCGGTCCTTTAGGTTCCCCCTGAGGCCCGCTGGGTTCTGGAGCATCTGGAGGTGACGGAGAGGCAGGAGATGGTTGATAACAGACCTGTGGAGCATCTGAGTCGCTGACATGAGCTCATTGTTAGATGCATCATCCTTCCTGTGTTCGCCTTAATCGAAGGATCGGACGTTTTTTCTTCTCCTGCTGCAGTAAAACAATCAGACTCTCCAACAATAGCTGCTTTTGCTCTTTCCAGCCGCCGCCTGCTGTGACTATATGCATTTATGCTGCCGCCGCCCAGCAGGGGGTTACCATACAGCCATTATATCACAGCACCGTGGTGAGAACGGTGTCTGCTGACCGCCTCCGATTTACAGCAGAAAGTAGGAAAGCTGTCACGGAAAGTTCCACTTTGAGCTCACAGCCATAAAAAGTACAAAAAATTCATCATGTAGGAGTCAACTGGTGATGTTCCCACATGTAGCCGCAGGTCACAGAAACATGAAATACTTTTATTACAGAGGACTTGGTCACAAACATAGAACATTCATTACTGATATAAAAGCCTCCTGGGGCTGCTGCAGAGAGGCATCCCCACATCATGATGCTGCCACCACCGTGCTTCATCAT